AGCTTCAAGGTCAGATGAATAGAGTGTGAAATGTGAAAAGTTCAGTTATATAATGATTCACTACTCATTGATCATCACTCATACTTTCTTTTATTATAACTTTTATCTATGTTCTAGAAAATTGCGTAAGGCGCATGATGAAATATGCACGAAAGTGATCGATTTAATGAACTTGGATTTGCTGAAGGAAGTGAATAAATGGAAAGATTTGATGTTGACGATTCGCTCGAAATTCACAGAACAAGAACGTTATGCAGGTAGTAAAGGCAATATGCGACCGTGGCTTGTGCACTGGGATCGTCAGCTTTACAAAGTACTGCATTCAATTATTCGGCATAAATACGAGCACTTACTCCCGAAATGAACGTTCCATATCAGTTTTCAACTTTTATTCTCCTCGAACATGCACAACTCGCAAAGCACGCAATCAAACACTTTCAGGCACTAAACTTGCAGTATCGTTGGGGCATTGAGAGTCTTCATGTTCAAATACCACAAATTCAAGCTCAACTCGTTTTTAAGTAAGCAATTAATTACGCGCTATTTGCTAATAATGTGAACAACTGTTCGTTGGTTTCAATTCTCACAAACATAAATCAGATCTACGTTCAGGAGACTTTAAACTTGGACTGAGACTGAGGCTGAGCATCTGTCATAGACTTACGTTTTAGGTTTAGTCTTAGACTAAGGCTAGCGCTTGAGCATAGTCTTTGAAAATTTCGGCCTGGGTTTTTTAAACTGGGGCTGAGGCTAAGGCTTAGGCTTACCCTTCGGGTTTTGGCTCAACATCACCCTAATATCAATTAGCTCAAATGGACGTCCAGACTAATCTTAAGCTCAGACCTAGCCTCAGTTTCAAACTTACGCGTACCGATTGATTATCTTGATGGGAATACAAATTAATCAAATATTCAAAATCTCTTCAGATGCTTCATGCAATACTTCTTATGCATAAATGCCATTTTGTAGACATAGAAAAAGATGGTTGAACCGAGGGAAAGATCAGATTCTCTGCACCCACTCAGTTTACTTCTCATTTTGTGAATACGATTTCAGTACACAATTCATTTTCAGAGAACAACGACTACAACTGCGGCCACCCGTTGAAGAAATTCGTGCAAAATACTACCGTGAAATGAAAAAATTTCTGAGCATCCCACACAAATTTCGTGGAATTGAAGATACGGAACATGTAATGATGTGATCAATTCAACACCGCATTCCAATTAATAAAAACGAATCTAGGGTTTTTTAATAGTGTTGATAGCCGTCAATTACTTTTCGTAATTGAACTCTCAAACGAGAGTTGAATTCACTTGAACAATGACTGAGAAGTCTGCTTCGAAAAACCGCGACTTAAAAACAGTGGCTAAATAATTTAGTGTGAACATCGATCAACCTAAGCGTATAGGATAGAAAGGAGTAAGCCAAATAGATCATAGGCTTATCGAGTAAATCGCATTCGATCACTTCAAACACTGTTCATTGGTGATTAAAAAACTCATTGCGAGTTTATGCCTCTCTTTCCTCACCAATATCACAATTCTTTCTTTCAAGCATATCAATACCTTGGCATGGTTAACTATGTAGAATACTAATTTCAATTATTGATTTGACAACAGAAGTTCTCGCATTTATTTGCAGTGATCCGTTCAGCACTCATCATGTTGGTTTTGAAGTCGTTCCAAAATGAGATATATATGCAATTTAGGTGTATGGAATGGGATACTGAATTAGTGGTCCTCCTCATACCAAACAGCTGTTTAATTTCAGTCCAATAAAGTATTCGCCATCATGATCGAACGTAATGCAACTCGTTTTCGTAGTGTTTACGAAAAGGCTGAACAACTTTTCGATAAGTTGTCATCGGTTGACTCATATTTCGAAGTGAGTTTTCCTATCGTTTCCGTTCAGTATGAGGGTGAAGTTGCATTCTAGTCAACTTCGAAAGTTATTACGGATTTGAGTGTTCAGGATTGGATTGTGCTCGGACAAGTTGACCTCGAGCAGCTAATCGACGAAAAGTTTGTTCATGCTGCAGATTGGGAGGCACAGATAAAGATGCTCAAAGGGAAGGGTCGTGAGGCTGACAAATTACCGAGGTTATTTAATATCTTGAGATTCGTTCATTTTTGCTGGGTAAAAAGTTATTACTGAAGTGTGCAAAGAACTGATGATTGCTTTTAATTGCAAGAAATTGCTTGTTTACTCAAGCAGATTATTGGAACATGAGTTAATTATCGACAGTTGCAAATCGGCGAGTTGATTCCATCTGAGAAACTTCTGACTGAAACATTCCTAAAATTCTGATTTTTGTTGAGCAATTACAATTCAGTTACAACAAGCATGATTTATAAGAAATGTTGAAGTGAAATCAAACTGGAGTGCATTTTGGTGACGACCGCAGCGGTCAAAAGAGCGATTGAGGATATTCTTCAGAGGCTATTCGACACTCTTATCTGGACATTACGACACTCGATCAACACTCAGATACAGGCAAGGCACTGATCAGCACTTTACAACACCCGTATGATCTTTCCTCACAGGAAGCTGATTATGCATCAATCACTCTTTTGCACTCATCAGGTTGATTCCATTCACAATCTGATCCTTCTAACACTCGTCGAATTTTGTTCGATGATGATTATTGTCCAAACCTGTTGCAGGTGATTGCTCAGTTCTTATCACAAGCAATATCAGTGCTCAGTTCGAGACCGGAGTCAGTCGACGCGATCGCGGAAGCCAATCACAAACACACTGAATTCGCAAGAGAGAACAAAGCGGTGAATCTCTTCATCATTTTCGTACTTTCAAACGTATCGTGTGGGATCTCATCTCAGAGACTTTGTGAAATTTAGATAGGTTACACTGCTGAATACAAGGTTCATGCATAATTGTTGGGGCGTCTTAATTAAGTTTCTGAACGAATTTGTATGGAAGATAAATGAAAGAATGATGTTTGCAGATGAAGGAGACGCTGAGTGTGATTGAAGAGAAGAACACGTTGTTGCGAGCAGTGGGTGGAAGCGGTGCTGATCAGTTAGTATCTGTGATGCAGCAGTGGGAGAAGTTCGAGTTAATGCTCGACAGTCATCAAGTGATGATCAAAGAACAGGTGAGTATTCCGATGGATGTTCATTTGCATATGCATTTAATCTGATATGTATGCATACACACCGACAATCAACAGTTCATTAATGCGTCGACGATGGTAATCAGTAGCGCAGAAACTGACTGCATCGATGACATCGTCATTTGATCAGGATAAAAACTGCTCAGGTAATGGAGTGATAATGAAATGGATTAGCGATGAGATGATCTACTCTGATAGCTGAGTTATAATAGTATAAAACTATCTGACCAGAAGGATCTCTGCGATTTCTGATTCGATAATCAATTCAAGGTGAATGTACTCAAGCTGAATGTTACCAAGAATATCCAAGTACTCAATGAAGAAGCTGAAAAGCTGTTAGCTCGTTGGAATCAGTTCAAACCAAGCAACGAAACATTGGCTGCTGATCGAAGTGCGCTACTGAACGCAATCGAGTTCATCAAAGAGAAACGTGTTCAATTCGATGAAATTGATGCGTCTCGGCGCAAAATTTTGTGTGTTCAACTTTATCGATATACTTAATTTCTTTTTCTCATTTTTTTTTCGTTTCAAGTTTCTCGAATATTTTATTCCGCGCATCGCACCCATAACAAACATCAATAACAACGTGTGTTGTTGTTAATTACAAACGTCTAAAGTGACAGTGATATAGTGAAAATTTTTGAAAGTTCTCATCTAAAATAATTTCCGTCCACTATATATGAAATGGAAGTCAGACATCGAGAAGTAATTATCTATCAGCTATGAGATATCATGTTTATACACTCAAATACTCAAGATTGGAATGCGATCAATTTGATGTTGAAAAGCCGGGATTCGAAATGATCGAAGAGATGAGAATTGATTTGGAAGAATTTGAAAGCAACTGGATTCTCTACGAGCAATTTAATGGAGAACTTGAGAAGTTGGCTGATGAAGAATGGATAATATTCAGGTGAATAATGAAGAAAGTTAGATTGACTTGGTAGATTCATTGATGCATTCAATAGGGCACGATCCGAAAGAGAAACGAACCGTCGATTCATCGAAGCTACTATCTAGTTTTGAATGCAGTCTCATTTCAATGAACAGCGAACAGATTTCACATGATTACACCGCAATCACAGCTAGAATAACCTCTTTTGTACTGTCCTTTATGTTGACTGTTTATCATCAGTAATGTTGAGGCGGACACAGGCAAAGATGAATTTCAGATCGAAAACTTATTTATTCGATGAGTTCTTAAATGAATGGACAGAGAAAGTGAGATCGTTGCCGGTAACGCATATGACCGTTCGAATTGGCAAAGACCTGGATAATTTCAAGGTTGGCGTAATTCATTCAAAAGCGATTAGTTGCATCAGGGACAACAACTGAATTGTCACGTTTTTGAGGAGATGAGTGCAGGCCTGAAGTATTGTCGTGGAGAGGTTCTTAGCAGTGACCATTGGCTGGAGCTGTTCCGATTGCTGGGCATGCCGAAAGGGAGTACACCTGAACGACTTCGGTTCCGTGACCTCTTGAATGTTCACGACCAAATAGTCACCAATATCGAAGCACTTAAGAGTCTGAACGCTCGAGCGCAAGGTGAAGTCACCATTCGAGAGGCTATCCAAGAACTGGAGTTATGGGCTGCACAGGTGATCGATTTTATCCAATTCTGCTGCATTTTATCCAGTTCTCTGGGGACAGGTCTGGAAATTCAAACTTTTTATCGACTTACGTCCTCAATCAGACATTTCCAAAAAATGACTCAAAAATAATTATTAAGTTGATATAATGACAGTATCATCATGAAATCAGAAAGTCCATAATGATAAGCGCCTCACTGGTTCCGCCTGAGCTTAGTGATCTTCTGAATATCAAACTTCCGAATATCTAGTTGATGCATGAATTCAATTTCCTATTCGATTACTACTTTCCATTCGCTCTTTCTTGTATTGGTAGGCTGTGAGATCTGATCGATTCTCATAGTAGGCCCGGATCGATTACGTTTTGTGATTGTTGTGATCGAGGATTCCGCTGGTATATCAGCAGAAATAATGATTTGCACAACAACTGTACTTGCAGACTGAATTCTCTCTGAGCGAGTATAAGCATTCGAATGGATCAACGATAAAAGTGGTAAAAGATTGGAAGGAGTCAATCAATGCGGTTTGTTCCTTACAATTTGGCATTGGGAGTTCGAGCACTTGATAACGTCCTTCTAACGAATGCACCTTTCATCCAGTATCCAGATGTGACTCACTCTTATTCTCTTACTGGCCTTTTTTTTCAGTGATCTTCACCGGCACATGTATTATAAAAATTGTTTATTGATTAGCCACCTGTAAAAATCGAATTTTGACTGTTTATCGTAATCATTGATCGGTTGTTTTATCAGCTTTGTTGCAATGATATTTGCTCACTTGTCTCTTTTCTGATGAGTTGAATTTGAAGGTGAAGGATAGTGAAGCTCTCTTGCAATCACTCAAAAACTCACCATTCTATGCACAGTTCACCGACAAAACGTCAGTATGGGAAACGAAGTAAGTCAGTGCAACTAAACAGGGATGTTTTCAAAGTTTTGAAACTAACTTCGCAATCGTAACTTTAAGGCTGACAGAGCTGAGTCAATATCTGCAGTGGATGAATGAAATTCAAAGGAAATGGATTTATTTGGAGCCGATATTTGGGCGTGGCTCGCTGCCCTCTGAAGCGTCACGATTCAATCGTGTTGATGTCGAATTCAGAGCAATTTTGAACGGTTCGTTGCAGTTTGATGTCAGACAGCGAAAGTTTCTCTGAGTTGATTGGTCACAGCTCAATAAATCACCAAATTTGAGTATAAATGAAGTAACGACAGATGTGGCACGTGACAGTCGGCTCGCAAGCTTGTGCTCGAGACAGTCGTTGAGACGAACCTTGGAACAAATTCTCGATCAGCTGAACCGTTGTCAAAGAGCACTCAATCAGTTTCTTGAGGTTACTGTTGTCTGCACCAGTCTTGACTGTCACAGATATATTGTAATTATATTGGTTTTCAGGAAAAGAGAAATGCCTTCCCGCGATTCTACTTCCTTGGTGATGATGACCTTTTGGAAATTCTCGGACAATCAATGAATCCAGTCATTATACAAACTCACCTAAAAAAATTATTTCAGGTGATTTGATGAGGTCACATATTGACCGAACACATAATCAATCCCACTGATAAGCTTTGTTATGAATGATGAAATCGTTACGTTTCTGTGGCATGAACTTTTAACATTTGTTCATATTTGTGCATCGTGCAGTTGACTGATGGATTCGAATCAGTTACTCGTGATGGAAGCATTTCAAAAATTAGAGCGAATTCTTGACTAAAACATTGATGTTTACCGTGGAATTCTGAAAGGAACTGATCGAAATCATTTAAGGGCATCAACAGAGTGGTTTTCGGAGAAGCGAATTCGACGCTGATTGCAATCGTTTCAGCGGAGGGTGAACGAGTTCAACTGTCGAAACATGTTCGGATAGTTGCACAAGTTGAGGTGATGATCACTGAAATGGAGCCATCGAACTGAATCATTAATGAAAAAGTTCCCAATAACTTTAAACGCGTTCCAACAAGAATCTTTGCAGGTGTGGCTTCAGGATTTATCAGATGAGATGAGGCGCACAATACGACTGCTAACAATGAATTGTTTGCGTGAGGCGAATCTCGATGCAGGCAAATACCCGTCTCAGGTTGCATTCCAGATGCCACATTATACATTCAACATTATACCGACACCACTTTGTATCACTGATCCAAATTCATTTCGATTGACAAATAACGTTTTGTAAATTCCTTCTTGAATCATTATAAAATTGTGCATAGACATTCAACGTTCTATACGCTTCAGGTGCTTTGTTTAGCTGAGCAAATTCGTTTCTGCACAGATTGTGAGAAGACACTCGACAAAACGCAAGATTTGCACGCATTTCGTCAGCAACTATCGGATCAGTTGGTCAATTACACAAACTCTCGAGTTGATGACGTTGTGCTTGAATTGAAGCTGAAATCACTTATTCTTGATCTCATTCATCATATCCAAATTGTTGATGAGTTGATACAACAAAAAGCAAGGTTAGACTTTTCTAGTTGAAGATTAACGCATAATTTGTGTGCTGACAGTCATAGAACCAATTGAATGGTTGCACTTCATTGCGTGACGATGTTAGTCATCTGAGAAGGTGGATGATTAAGCAATAAGTTATATGCAGTAGTTCGTCGTGTTGGTGCTGGCAGAAGCAATTGCGTTTCTATGTGGACTCGAGTGCACAACACGTTTTCATACGTCAAGTGAACACGCAGTTCGATTATACCTACGAATATCAAGTGAGTTGAGATGAAATGATTGCTGATTGAACGATACGATACGCTCATAATCATCTTTTTGTCTTTATTTTAGTCTTTAATTTTTCTAGTGGCATTTACTTGGATAAAGATGTGAACATATTCCAGGGTAATGCTGCAAAACTGGTACATACACCACTCACTGACAAATGCTATTTAACATTAACACAGGGTTAGTCCAATGGCACTAATTGTATTATGAAATAACACTTTTAGAGACCTTCTAACTGTTCAGCTCAATCGATTGCTTATTTTAGCCATGTCAATGGGACTTGGTGGGAACCCATATGGTCCAGCTGGCACTGGTAAAACTGAATCTGTGAAGGTTAGAATTTGGAATTATCGTTTGAAGAAGAATGTTGGATCAGTATCGCGGATAACTCATAGTATTTATTCATATGGGTCTTTAGTTTTAATTATTTTGGAGCAACTGAACGAAGCGATTTTTTAGGCTCTTGCCAATTTATTTGGACGTCAAGTGTTGGTGTTCAACTGTGATGAGGGTATCGATGTGCATTCGATGAGTCGTATTTTTATTGGATTAATACAGTGTGGTGCATGGGGTTGCTTCGATGAATTCAATCGATTAGATCAGGTGCCAGTTCATCTTCACTGCATTTTTGTCTTTTATGCATCCGATATGTTTATCTTCTGTTTTAATTTCTGGAGCATTTCTCTGGAATATAGCAACGCAAACTGTTCTAAGCCGCCGGTTGCGGCGGTAGAGAGTTCGAATTTTCTGTTGGATGGATGGAACATCTAAGTGCTGCATTATAACCATGCATAACTTGAAGCAATGGGTGCAACTGAATGAAGGGATGTGCGATAGAGAAATGCGAACTGCATATAGGCAAGACCAATGCTCGCTTTACTTTTGACAAACTCAAAATTGACTTTCATTATTGGACAGTACTTTTTGTTCAAGCTTTAATGAAGAATTATAACCAGTGATGCCCAAATTTAACAAATTTGAAAAAAAAAACCTGACTCAGCTTCGCAGTTTCGAATTCTCCGCTTTAAATCCAGTTCCATCTCTACTTCGTTAGAAAATTCATTATCGACTCTAGCTTTATCACCGGCTTTGCATTTTTCTAAGCCTCTAAGCTTCGGTTTCGACACTGACTCTAGCTCCAGCTTCGTTTCACTCATACTTCGGAAGAAACTTACATGGTTCTTAGCTCCAGCTGCTAAATGTTGCTACGTTTAGCAGTTGGAGACAAGAAAATTTAGCAGCTGAAAAAAATTTTTTCATGGCAGACAAGAAAATTTCATTGGCTTCGGAGCTTGAACCTCTGCTTTTAGCACAAACATGCAAGATTTCTTACGATAGGTGAATCAGTTGTGGGTTATGACCGAGCATCGTTGTTATTTCATTAATGTGCGTTTCACAACTTCCCTCTGTCTTTTCAACAATATTGTCAATGATACGATGATCACAAATGACACGATGATCAATAATACAGATCTAAAAAAACGCAGAATGAGAGCGATCGCCCAGAGGTAATATGCACTTATATTCTATAAGTAAAGTTTGAGTAGTTTGCGCAGCTCGGGATGTGGTTGGGTTGCTGCAAGAGTGGTTTTCAATGAATATGAACCAGAATTGGCATGCATTTCAGAATTTGGCGGAGAAAAACTATTTTTGCCAAATTTGCATCGTAATCATAGCAAAGGAAATTGATATTGTATAATATGCGAAAGAATTCAGACAGTTCTCTCGGCAGTTTCGATGCAAGTACAGACGATACAGAATGCGATCAAGCAGCGCTCAGGCACGTGCACACTTGGCAACAACAAGCAAGTATGAAACCGCTTCCATACGAACTTCACATTATTCAGCAACTTTTCGGCAATATCATCAAGACAGTTTGAAAAATACACTCTGAAGCCATCTAGTCGTTCATTTATATATTCGTAACAACGCAAACTTTTCATATCTTCAGGTGTCAGTTGATCCCAATTCAGCCATATTCATCACACTCAATCCGGCTGGTAAAGGCTATGGTGGACGGCAGAAGCTACCGGATAATCTTAAACAATTGTTTAGACCGGTAGCGATGTCAATTCCTGATAACGAACTAATTGGTGACCTCTTTCACGTTATTGCAACCTCGCATCACTTCTATGGCAACATCTTTAGTTCACCTAAAATTTATTACATCGCTACATTATTCTCTTCTCTAATCCGTCAGTTTTCAACTGAATGCACTGAACTTTCCAGCCGAAACAATCCTCTATTCTGATGGATTCAAGGATGCAAAACTTCTGGCACGAAAACTTGTCACAATGTTCACTCTCAGCAGGTGATAAATTAACGAGAACGCTGTTCTCGATTTCGATTTTGCATAACATTCATATTGCTGGTGTAGTTTCGGGCACGAATATGATGAATTGAAGGGAAATGCTCAGTCAACAGCAACATTATGACTGGGGCTTACGCGCTCTTAAAAGTGTCTTACGAGGATGTGGTGATATGCTGCGGGTTAATTCGAATAAAGATGAGAGACAAGTTGTTGTTGAAGTAAGCTGTTCAGTTGGTTGTTAAGTAAACATCTGATTTCTTCCACGGTGAAATCACTTGATTCATGCACAAGTTCAGGCTTTACTGCTGAACACACTCTCAAAATTGACATTCGCCGATTCGAGAAGATTCAGAATTCTTATTGATGACGTTTTCTCGGATGTCAATCAAACGTCAACACAGGTTTGCCATTGCAAAACATTCCCTGCATCGACTTATCACTTCCCTAATTCATTCTGATCATACCATTAAGTCACTTGTAATAATTACCAACAATTAATCTAATCTCCGTAGATTATTGTCAGATTTGCTTATTTCAGTTCGATGATCTCATCGGACCATTGAAAAAAGCTTCTGATGAGATGAAAATGACAATCACAGCTGTTCAGGTATGTGCATGAATTCTCGATAAACCACTTTAATTGATGGTAAATGAAAGATGAGAGAGGTTACTTGTTACTTGCACATTGAGCGGTTGTTTTGTTGATCGCGGTGAGCGATCAGCGGAATATTTATTTTATTAGAGTCATCATTATTTATTGGATTGGTATTTGGCTACGATTAATTATGCAAAGTGTTCACGGCAACTAATTAATTACTCGGTTGCGTTCACTTGGCCTGCTCGCTTAGCCAGCGGGGTGGCTAAACTCAAGGCTAAAACAGTGCGAACGGAAACGCGAGCACTGTGGCCAACAACGTTACAAACGTTTGATAGTCTGACAAATCTAGTGTGTTATCTAGTGAAAGATGAGAGAATATTAGAGATATGGAAGTGTGAGGCGATGAAGGTTTTGAATTTGAGGTCCGAAAACTATTCGAATTATATGAGCAATTGCGACAGCGTATGGGTGTTGTACTGGTTGGGCCAAGTGGATGTGGTAAATCGACACTATGGAAATTGTTGAGAAGAACGTTGATTATCGCCGGAAAATCACTCAAAACGTATATGGTCAATCCAAAGTCGATGTCTAAAACGAAGGTTCATCAGGCTTTTGTTCGCTTATCCTCGTCAGCTTCTTTATCAACCATCGGCCATTATTTGAAGTTCATCACCGTCCTGTTCATCTCAAATATAAAACAAAATCGCTCCTTTCATATTTGTAATGGAATCGCAATTTCAGTTACTTGGCTACATGGACTTGGATACACGGGAGTGGTTTGATGGAGTTTTGACATCCGCAGCTCGCGAAGGTATCACTCCCTTCAACTCATCCATTTCCCACGAATATCAGTCATTTCAGATATGTGTATTCGAATAGATATAAGTAGTGTAGCAACTGAAACTGTGGTTGATTTCAGTGGTGAAAGACAGCAACGTATATTCGTGGATTATATGCGACGGTGATATTGATCCTGAATGGATCGAAGCGCTTAATTCGGTTCTGGATGATAATCGTTTGGTAAGAGTATTGAATTGATGGGAGATGTGCTCATACTGATCAGTAATTAGAAGTGATGATTGACTGTAACTAGGTTGATGAAAACAGATTATCGATGCAACATCTCTCTCTGAATTTCGAGCGTTTATCTAGCAGTTCGCAAACATCAATATATTTCATTTTCGTCTAATCTTATAAGACATTGATTCAAGTTAACAATGCCATCGGGCGAGAGAATTCAGTTCGCTGCAAACGTAAATTTCATCTTTGAAACAGACGATCTCAGTTCTGCATCTCCGGCTACAATCTCTCGGATGGGCATGATCTTTATCAGGTACCGTCTTTAATTTCATGAGAATAATCAAAGCTGAATAATGCTTGATAGAACCAATATGTGCTAACAAAAATGGCTAAATGCTTATTCGAGAAGCAGAACTGTGACTTGTGGTGACCGTCATTGATTTTAACCGAATGGACAGAGAGGGAATTTCAGTGATGAAGATATGGACGAGAAGGAGATTGTGAGAAAGTGGTTGAAGGATGACGACGATTTGCATCCGGATATGCAGCAGTGGCTGGATGATCACTTATACAGGTTAGGTTGGCGTGAGCACGTGAATTGTTAATTGCTTTATGATCACTCTCTCGATGAATGCAGTTCCATCCATTGATAAATGCATCGACAGTTACACTTTGAATAGACTGTTCCTGAGAATATTCAGTGCTATGCTGCCCCGAGCTGTGTCTGTCTTCATACATATGTTCTCAGATGTGTGAAATGGATTCGCGACAAAAGCGAGTACGAAATCGATGTGAGTCGTACGGCGATTCTGCATAACGCACTATCACAACTACGATATTGCAAATGCGTTGAAGAGTTTCTGGTTGGCTTGTACCGTGGTCTCGCATCGAATCTCAGCGAAGAGACACGAAACATATTCGCTCGAGATGTTCGTCGAAAATACTTCACATATATGTGTATCAAATTGAACAGTAAACTATTAACGTGACATATGAAGCGCATCTGCTTCATTTGTTGTTTGTTCACGTTCGAAAGCCAAGCAAATAGCCGTTTTCATGCAGATCGATTCGAAGTGACTTGCATATGCTGGCACAATGTAGAACGTTTTCGAGTTCAGGTTCTCTTCAACGGAATAGCATTACCCGATCCACATTCACCATCAAATGTCTATTACGACTCGCGACTCCATTCATTCGCCTCATACACCGACGATACTGTTGCTAATATCACCAAAGAACAACTACTGCATAAACGGCAACGACCTCTCATTCTTACTGCAGCTGCGCAAGCGAATTGTGATACGGTACGATATATTGCATTCAGAATGTTATTACTGGTTGTTTTCACTTCACTGATGATAGTAACATCACTGACAATGTTAATATCTGAAAGGATGATCATTATCGTAGACCATTGACAGGACTACTCATCTCGTAGAGTTGTTTGTTGTGATGTTAACGTTGTTTTGGTAGGGTTCATTTCAGATCAACTGTTGGTTGCAAGAGGGCAATCGTCATCCGTTCATTGTGTTCGGACCTGATGGTTGCGGTAAAGAAACTCTTTTGAGACATTGCTTCGAAACAGATACAAACAGTCAATTGGCTGTGCTACACTGCAATGCACAGACAAGGTTCTTTGAGTATTCATACAAACTTATATTTCATTAGTTAATGCCGAACTCTGTTCCAGTAAAGTGAAAGATGCCTTCGTTTCCGTTTAATATTATCAAGATGAGACATGTATTCAGTGCCGAGCAGTTGATACAAGTGCTCACGCAACATTGCGTTCATGCGAGTAGCACGAGCGGTAGAGTGCTTAAACCAAAGGATAAACCCAATCTGATCGTGTATTTGAAATCAATTAACTTGGTCAAACCCGACAAATGGGGCTGCTGTGAGCTGATCGCTTTCGTTCAGCAGCTGCTGACATATCAAGGTTTTTACGATGAGAAGCTCGAATGGATCGGTCTGCAGAATGTTCAGGTTTATGCTTATTGTGTTCGAGTGGAAACTGTTTCGATGAGTTGCTGAAAAAAATATACGAACAGTTCAAGCAAAAAAACTTTGTGCGACGTTCGATCAAATTGAGCAGTCGTCTCGAGAGAATGAAGGAGTGCGTATCTCATCTTCTATTTCAGTTGGTGGCTTCGATAATTGTGGATGATGTGGTTGCGCGACAGCCTCTCGCGAGCCGTTTCACGTCCTTGATGCGCATCTGCAGTGTTCGTTACCCGTGCAAAACAAGTCTTATCTCTATTTATTCGGCCTATCTCACGCCAATATTACAGGTACATGCAACCGCAATCGGTTTGGGAAGTATTTTCTTATCGTGAGAAATAATGAAGTACCTTATATCTAAACCCTTGGGTCTTGGGTCCGTAGGATTGGGAACTGTGAATCTTAATCGTGCCTAGCATGGACGCGAAGCTGAATCAGTTGACGGACGCGAAGCTGAATCAATTGGATCCCACCAACCAATTCCCTTAATCCATCGTCCAAGTGGAGAAGAACGATTTTCAACTTTTTCACTTAGCTAGCATTTATTTGCAAGTTATTTGGTTCGATGCTGCTGTAGAATCCGCTATTTTTTCTAATGGACCTGGTGGCGTTCCTTGAATTTGCACACGCTCATAGCAGATTGCCTCATCATTGTTGAGGATTTGATTGGGATAGAAGTTTTTTTGCTTACTTTGGCCAATTTGTCAACAAATTTTGCTGCACCAACACTCAGGAACTATGGTTGACGTATTTTGTGACATTTGCAAAACTACATCGCCAGCCATAACTAGTCGATAAATCGGTATGATCAGTATAATAGGAATGAACCAAACCATAGGAGTGTTTGTCTTTTTCCATATGATTAAACCGGTCACCGTTTTTCAATGCTGCCTGAATATAGTGCAAACGGCTCGATCCAAATTTTTAATGTAATCACTCATCGTAAACAGTCTCTCATTTCGCAACCGTTCGAATATGAGGGCATACATATTACGGTGGTTATGATAGATATGTCGAATCAATGCACAATATTGCATCAATGACACGTTATCAACTGCAAAAAAGGTTGAGAGAATAGTTTTCAGGAATCGTCTCAATCGATGGCTCATGTAGAGCATATAGCAAGCATGATTGTTCAAATTTTTGAACAGATTCGCTCAGCATTCAAGCGAACCGATACAGCGCATTATATTTTCACACCGAGAGATGTGACTGATTGGTGTTTGGCACTGATGCGATATGATATTAAAGGTTCTTTCTTAAAACTCCTCTCCGGTTGCAATCAATTGCAATGAGATAATTACGAGCGATTCACTGAGATGAGCATCATTATATCTTATTCTTTCATAACGCACCACTCACACACCACACATTTTTTCATGCAATGACAGCTCGGGTAGGTGGTTATTATCGCACATCGAAACGTGAATGTGATCGTGCAGCTGATTTCAACTTTTATATGCGATTGTCAATGAAGTTGAGATTTCAGGTGAAAATATCCTCAAATGCTTATTGTACGAAGGTGAACGAATTTTTCGAGACAGACTCGTGAACAGCAATCACACTCAAAGGTTCCGAATGATTACTACTCTTTGCATTCGCATCAAACACTCCAGCAAACGTCCAGAATTTGTTCGCATTTTGTCTGCCTACTAACTACCCTAAATATATCTCGATACGAGACACTGTCGAATAGATGAATAATATCATTAAAAAGTGACTAGAGTGCATCAAAGTAAAACAGTTATGTGAACTGACGCTGATTATGAATATTTCAGATTTGATGAAATTGTTATTGATGTCACTTCAACTTCGATCTCATGCAATGACGGCTCGGGTAGGTGGTTATTGTCACACATCGAAACGTGAATGTAATCGTGCAGCTGATTTCAACTCTCATATGCGATTGTCAATAAAGTCGATTTATTTGATGATTGACATCATCTTTGAGAGTGAATAAATGCAAATTGATGCGTTCAAAGAATCGATTATCATTACAGCTGATTTTGATGTTCTATTCACGCGATAATCTTGCAGTTTATATCACCTCATCAGGAGCATTTAACCCGCACACTTCGATGACTGGGAAACGTTTGTCGATGGTGCCTCGTAAAGAATACACAAAACAGCTGCAAACTGCCATCAATAGATACCGTTAACAATTTTTAACAATCACCTTTGATAGATTCAAACTTTCGATGCACTCTTCTTTGTAGTATGAATTGTTATGTTTGTAACTGTCAGATGAATGAATCAATTCTGAAATTGAATCAGTCAAAGATAGAAGCATCATACAGAGTTGCTAAAAAAGTTTAATGAAGCAAACGTAAGGACTCAAAGTTTCAAGTAAGAGTTCCATCGGAATGTGAGCGGAATCTGTTGCAGAGTCTGAAGTGTCCATATTCAACTTACCATTGTTCGACGAGCTCGTGACGTTATGTGCTCAGGTGGATCGTGTTATCACATGTGCCGGTAATTGTTGTACATAGCTATCGTCAGTCACTTAAATCAAAGTGGAGATTGTGATTAACATCATCTCCTTTCCAGGTGGATGTGCTCTGTTAGCTGGTAGAGCTGGTATGGGTCGAAGAGCAGTCACTTCGTTGTGTGCTTATATTCATGACATGAAAATATTCTCTCCGAATATGAGACCCTCTTATTCATTGAATCACTTCAAAGATGAACTAAAGACTGTAAGTCATGTAATTTTCAAGTAACTCCATGCTGTGTTTAAACTGAGAGCACTCAATTTCAAACCTCAATTCGCTCAGAAATGTGTTATTGAGCGTTTCTAGCATGAGATATTGGAAATGTTCAAAATGATGCGAATTAAGACTAAGTGGGTAATCACCACAAATTGATATACCTTCAAATAAGGTTAAAAATTTTAGGCAATGCAAAGTGCTGCAGTAGACGATGAGCAAGTTGTATTCATTTTGGAAGATTATCAGATGCTTGAAGCAACATTTCTTCAATATACCGACTCCATACTTGCATCTGGCGATTTACCGGGCCTATTCACTGCTCAAGAGTTTGATGCTTTCTCGGCATCATTGCGTGATCAGGCTTCGCAAGATGCATATCAAGGCGATCTGCACACTTACTTCGCATTCAGTTGGTTGATTACTATGCAGATTTCAGTTTATCAGTTGGGAGAAAGAATTTCATTTACTGGAATGGAATTAGGGAAGCGAAAGGTGCTAGCCATTGATTAAAAAGATAACGATTCCATCAATGAATCAATGTTTTACCAATTGAATAGAAGTTGCAATGATGAAGATCGCTTGTAGAAGTTAGAATGAACATGCATATTGTGCTGATAATGGACATCGATGGGTCAGAGTTCAGTTCGATGTGCAGTGCGAATCGATCAGTTTACAAGGAGTGTACAGTGATATGGAAGGAGCGTTGGAGTAAGGACACGTTTCTACAGGTAGCATTGACTGCATTCCTACTGCTCACTTCTATAGTGAATACTCACATCCATCCTGAATGGTTTGTCGATGGTGCTCAGGCATTATTCGACGAATATTCGCTCGAGAATTCAATTCGTTGAGTTTAAAAAATCAACTGACTAATGATTCGTTGACTAATGATAAAAAACTGACAGTGGTTCAAATTGGCAATTGAAATCAAGAGTCTGTCCAAAATCGGAATGAGGACTGAAGTCAACATCAAAGACAAATGAACTAACGACTGATTCCGATATTAATTCAGATCCCCCGCTTGATTCTCGGAAGTCACAACCTCAAACCATCTGACGATCTCGTCGCGTGTTTTGCACAAATGTTTGATGCTTGTCCAACGTGCGTCTCGTCACCAGCTAAATTTTGTGCATTCATCAATAATTACATCAACATCTTTAACAAAAAACAGCACGCTATCGAGGGTCGATTGAATAGACTGAACGTGAGTTTTGCAGCCGAATGACTCGAAGACAGTTGAGCATTAAAGATGCAAAAACAAGATTCTGATTCTATGATTATTCCATCTGCATTCGACACTAATCAGTAGCACGATCAGTTCGTTCGGTTGATCGGTTGAATGAAGTTTCGAATTATTCAACAATATCCAAGTGTGAAACGATCGGTTAGGAAAAGTGCATTGACACACGCACGTTCTGAAGATAAGCGAATAGCTGTGTTCTCATTAAAAATGTTGATATCACATGTTTATCTATTGAAAGGCTGGTGTTGGAAAGTTGACCGAAGCGCGTGCAGCAGTTGAGGTAATGCAAAAGGAGGCCGCAAAGAAGACGAAATTACTGGCTGCGAAACAGAACGAAGCCGATATGGCACTGAAAACAATTTCCCAAAGTATGACGGTGGGGCTTTCATCATTATCAGATCTCTTATCAGAAACATCATTCATTAGCGTCATATGATTGCATTGGTATGTGTATTCATCACCACTGCAATAAAGGAATAAGTTCAAACGCTATTTTTAGGGTGCCAATGAGCAAAAAGCAGATATGGAACAGCTGAAGACAGCCACTGAAAAAGAGAATAAACGAATTGAAGGACAAAAGAAAGTTATTGAGGAACAACTGCGTGAGGTGGGCATACGATTGGATATGAATACTTGAATAATTTATTTACGATTAGTTAAGGCATTCTGCGCCTGGTTATATCATACGAACAAAATCATGAGCAGATCTGTATTAAACACATGTTGTTGGTTGCAAATGACTTTCTTTTACGCATAAAAAGCAATGAATAAGAGAAATATTTGCTCGAGCAGGTTGAGCCGATATTGAGTGAAGCACGCGAGGCAGTTGGTTCAATCAAATCCGAGAGTTTGTCTGAAATTCGAAGTCTTCGTGCTCCGCCCGAGGCAATTCGTGACATTTTACAAGCCGTTCTTCTGTTTATGGGTATCTTAGACACATCCTGGGAAGCAATGCGCAAGTAAGTTTATCTTAGTTATGCAAAACTGAAGATTTGGATAGAGGTTCTATATTAAGCTTATGAGTGAGTACTTTAATTCAAGCTGATACTTAAGGGGAAGTTGAAAAGAGTTAAAAGGAACGCTAACAATGTGGAGCGATAGATCAGAGTGGAATTAGACGAAATTTGAATGATCAGTCAGATCTTTTCCTTTACTTGTTATTTATTTACAACAAGAGGTCTTGCGGCCTACATAGATAGGCTACTGGATCGCGTTACTCGTGACTGTGGAATGGCATTCATTGACGAAATTGGCACGTAAATTAAAAGCGAAAATGTGTAAAAGCGTTTAATAATGAAACGACTACTGCAGATTCTTGGCGAAGAGTGGCGTGAAAGAGGAAATAATCAATTTCGATGCTAGACGAATCACACCCGAAGTTAGTCGGAAAGTGACGACATTGATGACAACTAAACAGTCATCCTTTGACCCGAAGGTAGTTACCACTATGCTCATATCGAAAACTTTTTGACATTATCAGGTAAAGATCGCAGCTTTCAAGAGGCGTAATGGATTTTTCTCGACAGTATTGAATGCAAATGCTTTTGACTCTTAAAACATTTCAGTAGATTATTTCTAATCTCAGAGAATTCTTTCGAATCTTATTGTAAGTTTACAATTACGAATGCTGGCCAATCAATGCAAAGCCATGCGTGAACAAAAGGATTGTTTGCAGAACGCAAAACGTGCCTCGGCTGCTGCTGCTCCATTGGCTGCGTGGGTGCGAGCAAATGTGCAGTATTCATCTATACTTGAGAAAATTGCACCCCTCGAACAAGAGAAAGATGAACTTGTTAGGTAACTACTCAGTGGCTGTCTGATTTGCGATTCCAAATGAACGAACTTATTCAGATTCTGTTATCGATCTTCGTATTATGCAGCCTGTGTCACTATCTTGATGATTTGCAGATCATTGAATCCAAGTGCTGTCGATTTTAATCTCCAAAACTGAGTGTACTACAAAAAGACTGAGCTCATTGATGCACTTTCAATTTGCATTGAACAACTTCACCTGACTCTTCAATTCAGATGTCATCTTAACTATCGCAGCATTTCTTTTAGAAATTTGGGAAAAGCTGAAAAACAAATGGCAAAACTGTCAAAAGGTTTGCGAACAGTCGAAGAAAGAGTTGCTGACCTGAAGAGTAATTTCGAAGTTCTTATGAAGGAAGCGACTCAAATCAAGATTGAGTTAGATAAGGAAAAGGTTCAGTGAATCGAATTATATCATCTGACTGAAATTCATGTTATCTAGCTTGAAAGTAAATGAATCATTTACGAAAACGGTGTCATTTTGCGAGCTGAAGAATTTTTTTGCAATAGGCAACGATAGAAGTGGCTGCAACTTTGATTGAGAGGCTCGGAGGGGAATTCGAACGTTGGCAAGAGCAAAGAAACACCTTGCAAGCGGAACTTGATCAGGTTGTCCACTCTTCTTTTGCTACATTAGTTAATCTTGTCTTGCGACCATATCACTTTCCGAATCACAAACACTGCATGAGAAGGACAGCAATTCGAGATGTGCATTCGCTATGAGGGCTTTCAAGCGCAAAACCAACAGCGTCATTTAAAAGGTGTTTCTGATGGGTGACCATCAGTTTATATCAAATATATCAAGTAAAAATTCAGTTGGAGAGACGTTCCGTGCTCAGCGCGGCATTCATAACGTTCTTGGGTTGTGCATCAGACCAACAACGCAAGTCAGTAATGAATGAATGGATCAAATTAACGAATATCAAAGATTTTGATCCGCTACGGTTTGCTTCAATGGAAACTGAACAGGTGGAATTTACTGGTATTTACAAACTCATTGAAGTGAGATGAAGCGAAACAAATGAAGTGCGATATGGGAAAGCTTGAAAGAATATAGAACTAAAACAAGCCGAGTTCTAATGCGATTTGTGAAGAACACAGTAACTTTTAACGACTCAATTAGTGAAGCGATAACAAACCAAAATATTGAAGAATTATGATTGAATTCAATTAGAGAGGAGATGAAATGATGATAATTATCAAAAAGGATTGCAGCTGAACTGGAAGAGCAAAGGTTTACCGTCAGATAAACTTTCCCTGGAGAATGCCATGATAATATTCAATTCAGTACAAACGCCGCTAATCATCGATCCAAGTGGCCGTGTCCTTTCATTCCTCGAAAGCATTCTGGATGGGAACAAAACCGAAAAACTGAACGCGGCCCAAGCGGATCTCATCACTCAGGCATGATCTCTTCTTGTGAACTCTTTACTGAGCCCCTCTAAATCCGCATTCATAGTCAGCTGGAACTGCCTATCTAAGTGCGGGAACAAGTGAATCAGTGCATTTTTGGCGAACTGAATTAATCCGTCCAGCCTCCAGCTATTATACTGCTAACGACAACGTGTCCCTGTCTGAGATACTAATTCACGTCTTTCATTTTTGAGGTGGAATTAGGCGTTCGTTTCGGTAAATGTTTGGTTGTGAAGGACGTCGTTGAAATCGATCCAGCTCTGATGAGACTGCTGAGAATGGAATTATCTAATCAAGGTGTTTACTCTGCTAATTCTCTCATCTCTGATCGCAGTTTTTTGCAACATACCATAAATGACAGCTCATTGCAAAATGCAAAATTGTTCTCCGAGATGGCACAAAAATTGAGTACGGAATGGAATCGAATATTTTGTTTGAATCGACAATCGACAGAAGTCAGTTCAGGTTATATCTAAAAGACTGACACGAACTGCAATCATCAACACCTACTTTCATTATAGTTGTCGGTATTACCATCATCAGTTATCGTGAATGGTGATAGTGTTGACAAAGTAACTAACAATTTAACTATTGTTCATGCCGGATTCTTCACTAACACAATGTTGATGCTTTGTGCACACTGTAGAGGAGGACTGAGGTTTCATTAAGTTAATAAGCGATGACTGGCATTAGAAAGAAGAAATACGGAAAAGAATCGAATATTGATGAAAGGATATCCATTCTCTTAAATGTGATCAAAATGCAAGAGAATTGTTCTGAAAGATGAATTGGTGAAGGGTTCGTAATACGCACAGATGTATCAGCCAGTATAAGATAACAAATATATCGCAAGATCTATAAGAAATAATCGTGATATTATTTTTCTAATGAATCAAGTTAATGGTATTCATTTGTTTGATAGTTGTTGTTGACTCTTTATTTCAGCAATATTGAACATTTCACTTGAATTTGCACCATATTTCAGGTCCTCGTCAAGTTGCACAAATCGGTGACAAAACAATCGACTACAATGCTGAATTTCGCATTTATTTCTGCACAAAGAACACTCAAATGGCTCTTTCACGCAGTATGAAAGCAGCATTTGCTGAAATCAATTTCTCAATAACACGATCTGGCCTTTCCTCTCAGGTTATTATCGCAACACTCCTAATTTCTAATGATCTTCATGAAACACTCCATAAAGTGATTATTCTGTAAAATAGAAGTTAACAACATAAAAGTGAAACACTACGTTTCATTGATCAACACTAGGTTATCATCTCGATGTGACTTGAATTTCATCCTCTCTGAAATTCTAAGTGCTTGGAAAATTTATAACATGAATCGTTTTGCGCTGAAGGAGCGAGAAGTCGTGTGTTTTTTCAGATGTTGGGAATTGCGATAGAAATCGAGAAGCCTGAATTGGAAAGTCGTTCAAGTGAACTGACGAGAAATGCTGAAAAATTAAAGCTGGAACTGGATCAACTGGAACAAGTTCTGCTGCAGGTGAAATTCTTTTCGACGAATGACTCATTTTTTGCTTACGAACTCATCAGTGTTGTCTATGATTCTATTTGTGCATTCGAAAGATGAATTCTTTCAGGCATTGGCATCCTCCGAAGGAAGTTTATTGCAAAATAATCAGCTCTTAGATTCACTGAACAAAAGCAAGGAGAATGCAGACAACGTTTTCGCATCATTACAGGAAGCAGACAAATTGCGCAATGAGTTGAATCAGGTTCTATCTCATCCCTTTAATGCCTCCGAGCTTTGGAAGAATCATCAATCAAAATACACCGTCAGGAATGTCTTCGGGGATATTATTTATCCGTAACTGATTGAAGATGTTCATGGTAGGGAATTGCATTCGGGATTCGGTAGTCTAATTTAGAATTTACTGACTAGAAGCCAGTAGATTCAAGCACTGCTGCGATCAGGGCAGACGTTGCACATATCACAGATGTGGGAGGTAAAGAAAACATTTACGA